AGCCATTCCTCCTGGAATGCAATTTAAGTGCCTGTCTAGCTGTTGCACATAGGGCCAGATGCTATACTGTTCATGCACGCATTATTCATGCTGTAGTCTATTAAGGGAGTTTAAAGAAGTTGGTAGTGTGCAAGAGTGAGACACAAGATGAGTGATGAGTTGCCATTTCCCCCCTAAAACTTAGATTTGTGATGCCACAATGTTTGTAATAAGAATACTGGTCATGAGATCATGTGATTGGACTATTAGATCCGAGTATCCTGAGAAGTCTTTTAAGCAGTCAGGAAGGCTGGGAAGGAAGGGCTACTACTAACAGGATGTCTCATCACACCTATTACAACCAGAAGTACAAAAACCATCTTTGACTAATAATATAACATTGAAGGAGCTTCAGAAAGTCAACAAGGACTTTTAAATGTCCACTTTCCAATTGGTGGATTTAAATCCAGAAAGTCCCCAACTTACAAACAGGTTGTATTCCAAAAGTTTGTTTGTACGTTGTATTGGGACCGGATCTGTTCAATATCGTCATCAATTATTTTTATATTGGCATAGAGAGTATGTTTAAGTTTGCAGATGTTACCGAGCTGGGAGGGGGTGCATGTGCTTTGGAGAATAGGGTCATAATTCAAAATAATCTGGACAAACTAGAGAAATGGTCTGAGGTAAATAGGACCATCCAGGCCAGAAGAAGCCCCGAATGAAGACGGGGACGTGGGTACCCTGTTGCCGATCTGGCTCTCAAAGTTGGGTCCAGAGGATGATGCGGAGGCCTTTTTGATTACCTTTGAGAGGGTGGCCACAGCTGCAAAATGGCGCCAAGAACACTGGTCTACGCTCCTGGCACCTTATTTGTCGGGTCCAGCACACCACAATATGTCTGATAGAGATGCCTTCTGTTACTACAAAGTAAAGGAAGCAATCCTGGACCAGCTGGGCATATCACCAGAAACTTATTGCCAGAGGTTCAGGGAGTCGCGGTATGGGATGGGGGAGCGACCAAGGGCCGTCGCCCAACGGGTGAAGGAGGCCGGAGTAAGGTGGCTAGAACCGGAAAACAAGTCGGCTTTCCAAGTCACCGATCTGGTTATTTTGGAGCAATATCTCCAGCTCTTGCCACCCGAAGGCCAACAGTGGGTCTGCTGACCTCTCCCTGGTACCTTGGAAGAAGCCGTGACCCTCATGGAGCACTTTGCAGCATCTGAGGGAGCGGAAGGGAAGGGGAGGATGCAGAGTACCGGTGCAGGACCTAAGCCCCCCGCCCTCCCTCGAGGGGGGGAAAACTGCTTTGACTCCAGCCCCAGCCTCAAGTTAATGATGAGCCGCAGGTCAGAGAGGAGATTGGCGCCGGTGTGGCGGTCGCTGGAAGCAAAGGAAGGTGGAGCCACACCTGGCAAAGAGAAGGGCGTAAGTACCAAGGCGAACCCCACCCCGATGGTAACTTGCTATCAGTGTGGACAGGAGGGGCACTTCCGAAGGGAATGCCCCCTTATGGACTGCACCTTTGGGCAGGCGACATCCGGAAAGATCCTGCGAAGGGAGGTAAGCCAGTGACAAATAACGCGAAGGGTGCGAGTAAACAGGAGAGAAGTAGAGGCGATTATTGACTCTGGGTGTGGACAAACAGTGGTCCGAGCCAATGTATTGGGGCCGCATGTACCCCAGGGATCACAACTCTGGATAAGATGCGTGCATGGGGACGCATGGCCGTACCCGACGGCCTGGGTTAGGATAACTGATGGGGACTGGGAAAAACCATGCAAGGTGGCGGTGGGTTCTGTATTGTTAGGTAGGGACTGGCCTGGGTTCCACCACTTATTACAGTCAGGGCAAAGGGGCCGGGGGGCAGGAGACAAAATGGCTTGGGTTACCCAGGGTGAAGAAAGTCCTGCCCCAACCGCCCGACAAGAGACCCGGGGAGACAGGCAGTTACCACCCATAGCCCTGGAACCAGATATAGATGACTTACTAACGCTCCAACAAGAGGACCCGACTCTGCAGAAAGCTTGGGAGAGCACCCAACAGATGGAGGAAGGTCAAGAGGAGATCAGCCCACCTGCTGCACGGGGACCCTGCTTCGAGGTGCGAGGAGACACACTGTATCGAGTGGTAAGAGAGGGGGAGGAGCGAGAAGAACTGGCCCAATTATTAGTCCCCAGAGCCTACCGGTGGAAGGTTATGGAGTTGGCACATGATAACCTCTGGGCGGGACATTTGGGGGCTGACAAGACACAGCAATGGGTATTGCAATGGTTCTATTGGCCAGGGGTGTATAAGGAAATCAAAGATTTTTGTGCTTCATGCCCATAGTGTCAATTAACCTCCGGGACGAAAGTGCCAAAGGCACCCTTAATGCCCCTCCCAGTAGTCAGAGAGCTGCTTGAGAGGGTCAGTCTAGATCTGGTGGGACCCCTGGAGCACTCCCGAAGGGGCCACCAATACATATTTGTAGTGGTGGACTATGCCGCTCGATACCCCAAAGTGGTCCCCCTGCGAAAGACAACCTCCCCCATCCTAGCTGACGAACTAATGAAAATGTTTTCGAGAGTAGGTCTGCCCAAGGAGATACTGACAGATCAAGGCCCAAACCTGACGTCTCAGATAATGCAGGAGTTATACAAATGGCTGCAGATCAAAAAGATTAGAACGTCGGTGTACCACCCCCAGACGGATGGGCTCATCGAAAGGTTTAATTGAATGTTGAAGGCTATGTTATGTAAGTTAGTGCAAGACGATCCCCAGGACTGGGACAAACTCTTACCGGCCCTCTTGTTTGCAGTATGGGAGGTGCCACAGGCTTCAGTCGGATATTCCCTTTTTGAACTTTTATATGGGCGATACCCACAGGGGATATTAGATTTGATAAAAGAAGGGTGGGAAGAACAGATGTCTTCGGCCCTAGGGTCAGCTCAGTATGTACTAAAGTTGTGGCAGCAGCTAAGCTCGCTGGGGCAGTGAGCCTTCGAGAAGATACAGAAGGCCCAGGAAACCCAAATGCACCAGTATAATCAAAAGGCCAAGATACGAGAGCTTGAAATAGGAGACCAAGTGTTGGTCCTATTACCCACAGGGGAATCTAAACTATTAGCCCACTGGCAAGGACCTTTCAAAATACTAAGAAGAGCGGGGCAAGTAGACTATGAAGTCCAGTTGGAAGGGAAAAGGAAAAACAAGCACATTTATCACATACATCTACTAAAGAAGTGGGTACCCTGAGAGGTACTCCTTGGCGAGGCAATGACCGGCGACATAGAGTTTGGCCTGTGCTGGGGAAAAGAGGTGACTTGGGAAGAGAGCCAGATGGGAGAGGACCTGAATGCGATGCAGCAGGAAGAACTACGGGAAGTGCTCCGGGCGGCCAGCGAGGGGCTTTCTAATTGACCGGGAAGAATGCACCTGACCAACCACACTATAACCACCAACGCAGGGAAGAAGGTACGGGACGCCATCTGTCCCATATCCCGTAAATTGTGGGAGACAGTACACACCTTGTTTCAGGATATGATATGGTGGGGAGTAGTGGAAGAGTCCCATAGTGATTGGAGAAGTCCCATCGTGCTAGTGCCGAAGAAAGATGGGACCACACGATTTTGTATAGACTTTAGGAAAGTGAACGCCATCTCACGCTTTGATGCGTACCCCATGCCCTGCATAGACGAGTTGCTAGAACAATTGGGACAGGCCAGATAATTATCCACAATCGACTTGACAAAAGGATATTGGCAAATCCTGCTGTCGCCTGAATCCCGAGAAAAAATGGCCTTTGCGACACCCTTCAGCTTATACCAGATTATAACCATGCCGTTCAGACTCCACGGCGCTGCGGCTACCTTCCAGTGACTGATGAATTGGATCCTGAGCGAGCATTGGCAGTATGCAGCAGCGTACATTGACGACATTGTAATTTTCAGTACATCATGGGAAGAGCACCTGTGACACATAGCTGCAGTGCTGGGAGTCCTAATCCAAGCTGGGCTGACTGCAAACACGAGGAAATGTTACTTTGGTAAGGGCAAGGTATCTTATCTGGGGTATATGATTGGCAAGGGCAGACTGAAACCGCTAGTAGACAAAGTCCAAACCATCAGGGATTACCCACGCCCCACCACCAAGCAGCAGGTACACCAGTTCTTGGGACTGGCTGGGTACTACCGACGATTTATATCACACTTCGCCTCCGTAGCTGCCCCTTTAATGGACCTCACCAAAAAAGGACAACCCCAACGAGTAGTGTGGACAGAAAAAGGTACCCGGGTGTTTAACACATTACAGGGATGTTTAGTTACGGCACCTGTGTTGCACCAACCAGATTTCGATAAGCCGTTAATACTGCAAACCGATGCGTCAGAGGTAGGCCTTGCTGCAATGCTAGCACAGGAGGAAGGAGGGGCTGAGCACTCTATATTGTACTTAAGCAGAGAATTGTTTCCCTGTGAAAAGAGCTATGCCACTATAGAAAAGGAGGCTTTAGCTGTTAAGTGGCCCATCGATACTTTACTCTATTTTCTTTTAGGAAACCACTTCATGTTGGTGACAGACCACGCACCACTGAAATGGATCCAAACTATGAAGGACGCTCACCCCCGGATTTTACGGCGGTACTTAAGTTTGCAACCGTACCGCTTTGATGTAGTACACTGGGCAGGTACAAAAAAACAGAATGCGGACTTCATTTCAAGGATCCCGAGACCGATGAGGAGATGGGGGCGAGTATAAGGGTCAATTTAAAGGGGGAAGCGTGTGGCAGTGTGGAGCAACCCCGCCATGATCCCAGGCCAGGAGAAGCCCCGAACGGCGAAAGCGCCGACGTCCGCACCTCAGGGAAAGTGGCGGGGCTGGCTCTGGAGACGCTGGATGGAGAGGGGGGAGGAGCCGCGCAAGGAGCGCGGACCCTGCAGGCCATCCTGGGCCCGGCGCAGGAAAATGACGTCCCACCCTCCGGGCGTGTGACGTCAGCCGGACGCCCAGAAAGTCCTGTAGGTGAGGGGTTAAGGCCGGGGGAAGGAGTAGATGTCACCCGCGGAGCCCAGGTCGGGTCATAAAAGAAGGACGGGCAGGCAGAAGAGGGGGACAAAGAGCAGGAGCAGGGGCGTGGGAGACACAAGAGGAAGAGGTGCAGGGGAACCCAAGGGCGAGGGCGCGACGAGTGCACTAGGCACCCACAACCCGAGTCTGGGCGGCAGAGCTGAGCAGTGGCCCAGGGCGGGGTCATGTAGCCCACGAGCAAACGTGTTTAGGAGCAACACCCCCGTTTGCTACAGGAGGGAGCTTAGGTCCCTGCATCAGGGCCCTGGGCTGGGGCCCGGGAGAGTGCGTGGGCCCGGGCCCCCCTCTCCGCCGTCCGGAGGCAACCCACGCACAGGGCAATCTGCCAGTAGTTTGGCTCTGGACTATTCGGGGACTAGGGGTGTGGGGGAGTGTATGACTAAATAAAAGGGTGATTTGCATAAATTACGAGTACGGACTCGTGACACGGAGATTCTTAAGGGGACTTCTAGCTATCCTCCAGCTGCACCTCCTCTCCTCCCTGGGCTCTGTGCCAGCTCCTGCAGCCAGCCCCATTCCCTCCCTGCTTCCCCCTCCCAGCTTTCACCTAGCCCGCATTACCAGGAAGTGGCGAGCAGTGCGAGTGTGAGCCAGAGTACTCCAGAGGAGCAGGGGGTGGCCATGCAGCTAGCAGCTGGAGGGAAACAGCAGTTTCCTCTTCAAAGTGCTGCTTCTCTCCAGCTACTGGCTGCGTGACCTCCCTCTGCTCATCCGAAGTCCTCCAGCCAGCACTTGTGCTGCTTGCCTGCTCCCTGCTGAGGCTGCAGGTGAGCTTTTGTTTGTATGTGCAGATGCTCGTAACTCAGGAGAGTGCCTGTATATTTTCTTCACTTATTGTAGCTATCTGCTCTTTACTACAAACCACCAGAAACTGTATCTGTTTTTGATCCTTGGCCTTTAGTTTAGGTTGATCTGCAGCTGAGCCTGAATTTTCTGAGAAGACATTCTGTCCTTCAGGCTGATCCAGCCAAATCAAAACAGGCTGGGAGGAGCGATTAGGCAGCAGGAGGGTGACTATTAGCTGGTCCATGGTGATCATTCTAGTGGACCTTGGGGCAACTGCTGCCAAATGTGGGTCCCTGGCAACATGTCCCCCTTTGCTATGCTGCTGAGGATGACTTGGTGCCAGCACAGGTCCATCTATGGCTACGTCTAGACTGCAGGCTTCTTTCGGAAGAAGCTTTGTTCAGAAGAGATCTTCCGAAAAAACTTCTTCCCGAAAGGGAGTGTCCACACTGCAAAATTGATTCGAAAAAGTGATCTGCTTTTTCGAAAGAGAGCGTCCACACTGAATGGATGCTCTCTTGCATGTAAGCTGTGATTGTAATGGACGGAATGGCCACCAGGGCATCTGTGCTTTTTCCTCTTTCCTCTTCTTCTGAAAGAACTCCCTCTTCCCCGTCCACACACGCCTTTTTCAGAAAGAGCTCTTTGGCAACAAGACTTCTTCCTCGTAGAATGAGGATTACCAATGCCAGAAAAACCCCTCCGTTCTTTTGATCTTCTTGCAGAAGAAGACAATTGCAGTGTGGATGTTCCTCAAGTTTTGTCGGAAAAATGGCTGTTTTTCTGAAAATACTCTGTAGTGTAGACATACTCTCAATCAATGGTGGGCAGCCTGCGTTATGAAGAAAATGGGTGTCCTTGTGGTCCTCCTCTTCCCATTTATCCTAGAACTACGCTTGACTACATCACAAACAATTCATAACTTGGATTTAGTTTAGTAAACAGGCCACTGACTCTTGTGTCCTGCAGTACTCAAGTATCTGTGGCCAGAAGCTTCACAGGGAATTGCAATATCACAGATACTGCTGCACTATAATTTTCATTTCTTTTTACTGCTGTATTTATTTCATTTTGAATTTGTGAGACTAAAATTAAGCCTAAACAAAAATTGGAAAGACCATGGTGCGCTGCCTGATTAGAAGAAGATGGTGATACTAATGCCTGCCTAATCCTCTCAGAACCCATTTCAGTACTCAGTCTTGAAATGAAATTTGTCATCTCTTTGGCAATATGCAAGGAGAGGAGAAAGTTCCTTCTTTATCCCTCCCCTTTTACATAATATGCTAAACTGTTCAATTTCTAGCAGCACCTTAAAGAAAACAAAACATGTAGATGGTATCATGAGCTTTTGTGGGTACATAAGTGGGTTGTGCCCACGAAAGCTCATGATACCGTCTACATGTTTTGTTTGTCTTTAAGGTGCTGCTAGACTATTTGTTGTCTTTTAAGTTTTTCCGGTTACAGACTAACTCAGCTACTCCTCTGAAGCTTTTGTTCAGTTTCTGTGAGCAAGAATCCCTATAGTAAAACATGCTGAGATTCTGTGGGTAGATGAAATAATTATCTACTTTCCTTCAGTCTTGAGTTATGTGGAGTCTGGTACCAATATCTGAGGTAGTGACCTGCATCATCATAGTATCAGAACATCAAGATCTTGTAATGTATTTATCCTTGCAACACTCTTCTGAGGAAGTCCGTGCTGTTATCTCCTTGCTACAGATGAGAATGGAGCCAGAGACTTCATGACTTGACAAAACTTACCCAGGAAGTCTGCATAGGTTGAACCTGCTTGGTACTGGATGAGGTAATGAATGCCAGCCCCTCTGCTGCTATCTGTGAAGCATCCACAGATGCTGGACCATGGATGTTGCCAGGCAAGAGAAGTCCAGATTGTAGAGGTTTTATAGTAGAGCAAAGACTTGTAGCTAGCTTTCCCTGAATTCTAGGCTAGTACTCTAGACATCTTGTCTCACCTCCTTGACTCCTCTGTCAAAATTACCATCTTTGGCTCTGAAGAATCTTATTGAGTCCTATAATCTGGAAAAGATTATCATTAAGATCTTCTCTGCTTACCTAAACTTTGAGGCCTTCACAGAATTCTTTAGTCCTTTTTTCTTTTTGCCCAGTGTATTATTTTATCCTCTCTTACCTTGAGTGCCATGTAACGTATTTCACAGCTTAAATTTCTCTACAAAATCTCTACCATGGGAAACGTTAATTGTCAGTGCTAGTGGCTAGCCTTGTGGGTGGATCTTCATTTCAGGAAATGACTACCCTGTGTCAAGTTCCTCATAACTTGATTGCAAAATTGAGACTTCACTTAATGCACTCAGGCAAGGCTTTGAAACCCAAGGTGCCTTTATGCACAGTAGATCATGCAGAACTCTGTGCCAGAGGAATCCAGTGGAATGAATGAGTTCACCGGCCTGCAATCCCAGCAGCCCTCTGGCTCCCAGAATTATGGAGCTACTGAACCAACTACAACAACTGCTCAGTTCTTAAAGACGCCAGGAAACATTTCAGCAAAAAGATCTTATCTAGCAGTTGGTGTGCTGTGCTATATTAACTTACTCAACTACATGGATTGGTTCATTGTAGCAGGTAAGACTTTTCTTCTCTTAGAAAGAACAAACTATAGTTGTCAGTAACTGTTCACTCCACAGTTAACAAGGAAACATCTGGCTTAAAGTTGTTTATTAGTGTAAAAATAGTAAATCATTCAGAAGCACGGACTGTTTAATACTGATCATGTCTTTGCTTTGGTTTGCTGGTCACATTTCCTGTCAAGATGCCATTTATATTTTTAATAATTGTTAAAGGTTGATAGACTTAAGCAATCTACAACTAGTCATGTGTGTAACATGTATATAACATGCATTAATCATTTATTAACCCTGCAACCATTTATAAATGGAACCCAGGTACAGTATAAAGAATAACTGGTTTGGTTCTATATAACAACTTTGCAGAACTTTGACAAAGATGCTTTTGTGGAGCTGTAGACAGCAACTTGCCACATCTATCCCTAGGAGGTTTTTCTCCTTTCTGCCCTTGGGAAGTGAGTGGGAGATTAATGCCCTCTTTGCTTGTTTTAAACAAAGCTCCCATTGGGACTAGTGAGCCTTGTTTGTATAAGGACTAATGATGAGATCATCCTTGATTCTTCTCCTGTGGACGGGATTAAAATCAAAACTAGTATTCTTTTGGCTAAAATTTTGTTAGGGAAAGGGTGGCTTGATTTTCAGGCCCAATGGAAACTCTGTGATTTTTTTGCAGGCAGAAGTTTCACGTACCTTTATGAGGGGCTGAGGCTAGAGGAGACTCATTCTTCATTGCATTTCCTCCAGAATCACAAATAATTCTCTGAATAAGATCATGCTGACTTAGGAGGATGACTTTTCTGAAGGCATGAGTGGGAACCACGATTAAAAGCACTGCTTCTAGTGGAGCTTTGTTGCAATTTGGATATCTAGAAAGTAGCGAGAAAGCCATGGTTCTTCAGATGAATTGTGGTTTGTGAGATTTCATCCTGTCTAGATTCAAAACTCTATTTCTACTTCTCTCCCTTCAGGTATATCTACACTGCACGCTTATTTAGAAATAAACTATTCCGGAATAGTTATTCTAAAATAGCTTATTGAAAAATAGAGTGTCCACAGTGCAGGGAAGCCTCAAAATTAGTCTGAGGCAGGCTTCCCTAATGTAGATGTGCTATCTCGATTTAGATCCCCAGGGGGCACTGGAGAGGAATAACTTAGAATGGCCCTGGTGAGGGGCTATTTCGAAATAGCATCAGTGGAGCGTCTACCCACGCTTTATTTAGAAATAGCTATTTGGAAGAGGCATTATTCCTCGTAGAATGAGGTTTACAGATTTCGGAAGAAGCCGTCTGTTTTTTTGAAACTATTTAAAAAAACGGAATTGCTGTTGTAGGTGCTCACATAGTTATTGTGGAATATCGGCCGAAATATTCCGAAATAACTTTGCTGTGTAGACACACCCTTCCTCACCTGCAAACCTTTCTCTTACTCTAAACATGGAGGCAAGAATGGAAACTTGTGATGGGTTTCCCAGGCTGCTTGCTGGTGTTTATTTGGTTTCTGATTGGGCACAAAGACTGGAATTTCCACAGTCTTGCTATCTAGCAAACACACGTTTTATTCATAAAACAGCAAATTTAACGCCGCAATCCTGAGTTTCTTGTTTGACAATGTCTTTGAGGGTTAGATCAGTCAGTCTAGACTTAAATAAATGCCTGACTGCTCTGAACAGGAACAAGAGTTATTTTGTGCACTGAAATGAAACTATATTGCCATAGACTTAATTCCCACAGTCTTAGCAATGTTGAGGTACTGGGGCTGTACACTGTATCTGTGTTCAAACTTGTTCCCCCCTAATTGGAGAAATGAACATAATTTCTTTTCAGCCAGAAATAGGTATATGAGCTGAATGAAGTAACAAGTCAGTTAATGCCACAAATCGTTCATGGGAACTTTGACTGTTTTACTGTTTATTTTGCTTAGGCAGCACATAATTGACCCTCAGCTAGGAGCCAAATGGGAGATGGACAGGGGAGAAGGAGGAAGAGTACATACAGAGAAAATGTTGGTTGTTAATACAGGCAGCTCCCAGCTTGCGATGTGATTGGTTCCCGGGGAAGCATCGCAAGTGGGGGGTGTTGTAACTCGAACCCTTATTTACAACAGGCGCCGTGCGGGCCGATGATGTAAGTCAGGGGTTTTCGGCCCCTTCCGCACTTACAAAAATGGTTGTAAGTGCGGAGGGTTGGAGCTCGGGTGGTCGGAAGTCGTTGGTTTCCTGTAAAATTAATTTGACAGAAGCTAGGTATGCAAAGCCATGATGATTGTCATTCAGCTTATTGCTACTACTGGGCTGCTTTTGCTCCTTCCATTATGATGTGTAAGTTCTTTGCATGGTTTAGTGAAGTTTTGCACCTCCCCATGAAGTCAATGATGGCACCCCAGCTTAATAATTAAAGAGACTGAGGCACAATTTAACACGACTAAGATGACAGAGGAACGCCATAACAGAGATTGGGTTAGACATATCAGTTCTGTATCCTAACCATAAGATAAGAATTAACTGATAATGTTTCAATTCACAGGGTATGTCTACACTACAGCACTATTTTGAATTAACTTAATTCGAAATAGTTCATTCGAATTAAGCTAATTCGAAATAACACATCTATACACAAAAACTATTTTGAAATAGCGCATCCACACTGAGTGGATCCTGAGCCGAAGTTAAGGCTGGCCGGAACCAGTGCCGGCAGGGCATCAGGTTAGGACTTGAGTGTGTGGGGCTGCTGCCTGAGGCTAACTGAGCTCCATGCTTAAAGGGACCCTACCCCCACCCCGGACAGACAGTTTTCAGGGTTCCCCACTTGCTTGTCTACCTCGATGAGGGACAGCAAAGCAGTCCTGTCTTGGAGTGCCCTGAGTGCCCACACTCAGAACACCACAGCACTTGGCCACATGGAGCTAGAGCTGCCCCTGGGCACGCCAGTGCATCTCGTGGAGTTGGTGCTATCAGCCCAGCTGCACTTGCTGCAGGCTGCCATCCAGGGGGTCCATCGGGGGGCTGTCAGGATCCAGGAGGCCCTGAGGGAGAGCGTCCACCCTGAGGTGCCCTCAGAGCCTCCCTGGTCCTCCCCACCGGGGGCTCATGCCCCATTCCTCCCTCATGTCCTTCCACTTACCCTTCCCTAGCTCCCCTTCCTGATGTCAAATAAAAGATACTTATGTTCAAAAATAGAAACTGGGTTTATTGAACAAAACTAGGTGGGGGATGAGCCTCTGGGGAGACTGGGAAAAGGAGGTGTGAGAGGGGAAGACAGAGGGTGGGAGAGGGAAGGGGGAAACCTAGGAGGAGGGAGCTGGAAGGGGAAGAAGGGGGAGGGGAAGCTCAGGGCTCAGGTTTGGGGGTCTCGCTGGACCAACCTGACTTTCATTCAAACCTGCTCCTGGGTTGGCATGTGGCCTTTGGTGGCCAGGCTGGCAGCTATCCTACCATAGATGGCCGTGTTCCTCCGTCTAGGGCTGAGATCATGGAAGTTGGGGGCATCCCCCCCAAACCTGAATAAGGTCCATGATCTCCACCCTGGACCAGGAAGGCGCCCACCTTCTCCAGCCCCTGTCATGCTCCTGGGAGCTGGCAGACTGTTCCTGAGGAGCGGTGGAGGGCTGGCTGCCAGTGGCTTGCTGGATCATGTTTTGGGGCCACTGGATCAGGGGCCCCAGTGGCCACTGCTGGCTCTGGGTTGGCAGGATTGGAGCTGGCACAGGCACCAGAGTCTACCCCTTTAATGGCTCCGGGGCTGGGGGAGAGGAGAGTAAGTTTTCCTGGTTGTGTCCAGAGTGGCCACCAGGGCTCCCTGGGAAGGGCTGGAGGCTCCCTATTTCGAATTAAGTGTCTACACGGCACTTATTTTGAATTAGCTATTTCGAATTAGGTGTTATTCCTCATAGAATGAGGTTTACTTAATTCGAAATAAGGGCTCCACTATTTTGAATTAATTTCAGTTAATTACAGTTAATTAAAAATAACTGCTGTTATTTTGAATTAACACTGTAGTGTAGACATACCCACAGTGTTACATATCCCCTTTGTTTACCAGTTTAAAATTACTATTTATGAAGTATAGCAATATCCTGTACACTGGCTTGAAGTCAAACTGTATTGCAAAATTCTTGCATCAACTACCTTCCTTTTTGACTCTTCTATCTCTTTGGATGTCAGAATCCTTAAATAGAAGGTATATCTACACAGCCAATGGCAGTGGGCCTCCCAGTGACGTTTAATAGACTTTGGCTGCTGGGGTTTGAATTAATCTTAGAAATAACTCTGGGTATGTCTACACTGCAGAGTTTTGTTGGAAAAAATGGTTGTTTTTCCGACAAAACTTTAATTACGTCCACACTGCAATCGTGTTCTTCCACAAGAAAAGCGAAAGAACAGAGGGGTTTTTCCAGCATTGGTAATCCTCTTTCTATGAGAGAGAAGCCTTTTTCTGAAAGAGCTCTTTCAAAAAAAAATGCATGTGTGGACAGGGAGGAGGGATTTATTTCAAAAGAAGAGGCCTCCAAGAAATAACACAGGTGTCCTGGTAGACACTCCATCCACAGTAATCACAACTCTATAGTTTCTGTCTCCTGGCCCCTCTTAAAGCTGCAGGCACCCTGGCCAAACCTTTTGTCAGGAAGCCGGCCTGAGAGCAGCACCCTGACCACGCGGCTCTCCCTGACCCAGGCCTTGCCACCCATGGCACAGCCAGAGGCCCCCCAAGACTCCCCTAGCCCTCACAGGGAGCAGCCCCAGGTGTCCCAGGACCCACCTAGGGGGTGGTGTTATGTTCTTACTGCTACAGGTTGAACCTGTCTAGTCCAGCACCCTTGGGACTTGATGGGTGCCGGACCAGAGAATTTGTTGAACCAAGGGAAGTCAATATCGTAGCAGGTGGGTCTCTTTTTATTTTTATTTTGCTGAGGCAAGTCAATGGAAAATGTTTGTAATGTGGCTTAGTAATATATAACTGTACTGATACTCCTTATATAAGCCTATGCCTAACCAAAGCTCATCAGCTCTCTTCTTAATGAAATGGTAGTGTTATTACACAATGTTATTGTATTGGCACAAAGAAATAAGTAAATAAAGCTTATAAACCATGTTTACGCTTGGAGGCATTACCAACATTTCCATTACTTGTTGGGCTCTTTGAAGACATTTGGGGTAAATTAGAGCTAAGGAATAGCACAGAACACTGAGAGCCAGAACAGGAATGGCGTCTGTAAATAAACTTTATGGGATTACAGATTACACCAGCAGACATACAGCAGTGTTTCTCCACCTTTTTTTTTATAAAGTACCCCTTTAAAAAAATTATAAGTATCCACTGTACCTACAGTGTTCAGACACACAATTTTTTTTCTACCATTGCAACACATTCATTTAAAAAACTTAATTGTAATCGGGTGGGTGATAAAATTTTTGAGCGTAAAAAGTACAAGAATTATAAAGCACTGTAAAATTTAAAACAAAAGTTCAGTTTTCTCCAAATTTCAGTTGTGCTGACGTACCCCCCCAGACTTCTCTCGAGTACCCCTAAGGGTACTCATACCACTGGTTGAGAAACACTGGACTACAGGATATTGCAGGATACTCGGCCACACCCATAAGTGGACATTCGGCTAACTAAAATCATGCCATACCTGGGATGTTGTCAGATCAGTGAGTGCCGGACCGTAGAAGCTCAACCTATACTTTTCACAATATGTTCTGGTTTGCTCAGACCCTCAACCATACGAGACCTTTTGTCTGTGTGAATCTAATTATATGAGTGGAAAAGAGACAATAGAATCCATCAAATGTTTCTTCAGGTGTTGATAATTACATTCATTTGAATTTTGCCTCTTGTTTGTAATCCAGTTTCTGGGGGTTAGGATCAGTACTTTCTAACTTGGTTCCTACTGAAAAATTATGAACAGGTGGGACCTCCCTCGTCTATAACCCTCAGGATCTGAGTGGTCCCAAACCACAGAGTTTTGCCTGACCAGAGGAGGTCACCTGACTGTTAGCCCTGTTCTCTAATGGGCTGCACGAGCCCCAGCTTTCATGGGTAAAACTCGCCTCTATTCTGTTTCCCAGTCGATCCCTCCAAACTTGAAATTGTAAACTATCGATACATCACTATGCACACACATGATTCTTTAGAAACTATAGTGGACATTCTGTCTGAGATGAGTCTTGCAAGATCTCCATAGTAAGATGAATCAGAATTGTCTGAACTAATTGATGGAAACTTCACAATAACTAGTTTATTAATGTATACAAGATGCTATTGTAGGTTTAAAAGATGACACTTCATTTTAAAGATTGCAGCTCTCATGAAAATTAATAGGTCAAACTCACCACCTCTATGCGACCCCTTGCCTTGCAGTGAGTCTTCAGGTGAGTAAGTGAGTAAAATGGCAACTACTGAGGAATGATACACTCTGCTATAGCTGCATAATTATGACTTTTCTCTTTGTTGCAGGGGTGCTGTTAGATATAAAGACGTACTTCAAAATCAGTGATGGTTGGGCAGGCTTCCTGCACACCGGTAAGGAAATGTCACACTACTGGGGGCAGCTTAGCATGCTCCAAATGCATGTTTTCTGTCTCTAAAATGCAGTCTAGTTCTTCCTTGTTCCTTATTTTTTCCAGTTCCCCATTATCCTGTTGATTTTGGTTTGATCTTTACAATGTTTAATCAGTTTGCTAAAAAATACAAGACTGAAAGTCATCTTCCAAGAATAAAGAAAGTCCTTGACTGTGGTCACTAAAGTTTCTATGGCACTTAACCATAAGAACTGGAGGGATGCGGGGGAGCTAACCTTGATTTCTCAGCTAACTTTCACCTTGAACAATACAATTCTGCGTATACACATTTTCCTTGCGTTTGCCATTGGGGAAGATATTTGCTTCCAGCCCTGAACATACTAGGTAAAATTCTAACTTAGTCGACTCCATTGACTCCAGGATATGAATAGAGAAGGCTAACCAGTCAAATAGCATTTTTTTTTTCATAAAGTAATTGGCAGGAATGAAAGTTCTACATAAAGTGCTCATTGTGTGTAATTTCTTGGTTTACTTTTAACTGTTGAGTACTTTTCAGACCCTATAAAACAATCAGTTCCAGAATTAGAACTCTTCCACTGAATTCAATAGTATTGAAGGGCGCTGCCCACTTTTAGATCATGCTTTGGGAATAACCTGTCCATTCTAGATGGTGATATGAACTGGTAAGCTGGGTTGGTAGCTGCAGCATCTGAAGGGTTTCCAAGGAAAGCCAGGGAGATGTCACTAAGGTACAACCTTGGGCTGTATTTTCAGTGTCCCTTTATGGTCTATTGAAGTACTTAGGTATGTATCTAAAAAAGTAACTTAGTAACACATTTTATCCAGTTTATTGTTTTAAACATGTATTTTACTATTCATTGTCTTGCTCATCTCTCTCTGTAAATTTTGCTATCTAGAAAAGCCATAGCCTAAGACAAAATTAATAAACCCAACAATTTTGTAACTGGAGAGGAGCCAGGGATATAAAGATGTAAAGTGTTTCAATCTAGAGGGATGGCACAGAGCTCTCAACTCATGGATTGCACTTCTGCAACCTCAAAATTGGGCATTCAACCTAATAAATAGTACATAGTATCCCTTTCTGAAGAGGGAAGACAGGCGTAAGAATAAAGTGGCCTGCATTGTCACTGCTCTTGCTTTTGCAGTCTTCATCTTTGGTTTTCTGCTGTCTGCACCTTTCTTTGGATACCTTGGTGACCGGTACAACAGGAAAATCATCCTCAGTGTTGGTATCTTCCTCTGGTCAGGTGCAACATTAGGCAGCTCATTCGTCACTGAATCGGTATGTCACTTGCTTACTTGGAATGTTACTTTTAGAAATCAGCTGCCTGAGTCTTGCAGTGACTCATGGAACTTTTGTTCTGATCATGTTATACTTTGCAACAGCTTTCAGGCAGCACCCTGGATCTTATTCCCTGAAACATGAGTAAATGGAAGCGCGTTGTGTGGGAAATCTCCATAGCAAATGACATCCTGTCCCTTCTAGGCCTGAGCACCAGTGAAACGATTCCACAGCTGCTGCCATAGTACTCTTCTTGCAGTGACTCATGGAACTTTTGTTCTGATCATGTTATACTTTGCAACAGCTTTCAGGCAGCACCCTGGATCTTATTCCCTGAAACATGAGTAAATGGAAGCGCGTTGTGTGGGAAATCTCCATAGCAAATGACATCCTGTCCCTTCTAGGCCTGAGCACCAGTGAAACGATTCCACAGCTGCTGCCATAGTACTCTTAGAATTAGAGTGTAGGTAATTGTCTGTGAATCTGCAGAACTACTGACCATGCCCAGTGACACTGGAGAATTCACCACATGGTGCTGCAGAAGGAAGCTTGAAAAGCATAGCATTGTGGTGGGAGGAGTTTCAAGTGTGGGAGAAGAGAGCACTCTGTGAGCGGAGGAAACCTATGCTGGCAGGAGAATGTCTCCCATTGACATAGCACAGTTTAGACACTGCTGGAAGTCAATCTAAACCAGTATTTCTCAACCTTTTTTTTATAAAGTACCCCTTTAAAAAAATTATAAGTACCCCCAGTACCTACAGTTTTCAGACACACACATTTTTTTTCTATCATTGCAACACATTTGTTTAAACAACTTAATCATAGCCAGATGGGTGATGAAATTTTTGGGTGTAAAAAGTACAAAAATAATAAAGTGATGTAAAACTTAAAACAAAAATTCTCCAAATATCAGTTGTGTTGACGTACCCTCAGACTTCTCTCGAGTACCCCTAAAGGGACTCGTACCACTGGTTGAGAAACACTGATCTAAACTATGCTGGCTTAAGTTGCCTAATGTAACTAGCATAACTTAGAGTGGCTTACCTCCATAGTGGAGACCAGGCATTAAACTCCCATCCCACGAGAAACATGTTTTGTTAAAAGGTATCTTCTAGTTCGAATGTGGTTTTTCATAGAATCATAGAGCTGGAAGAGACCTTGGGAGATCATCAAGTCCAGACCCCTGCCCAAGGCAGGACCAATCCCAACTCAATCAACCCAGCCAGGGCTTTGTCAAGCTGAGACTTAAAAACCTCTAGGGTTGGAGATTCACCACCCTCCTAGTGAAATAGTTTTTCCTAATATCCAACCTAGACCTCCCCCGCTGTAACTTGAGGCCACTGTTCCTTGTTCTGCCATCCGTCACTACTGTGAACAGCCTGTCTCCATCCTCCATCCATTTTTGGATCTTAATGTCTCTTTTGTCCCCAGTATCCCTGGATATTCTTCGTTTCACGAGCATTTGTTGGCATCGGCACTTCCAGTTACTCCACCATTGCACCTACGATCATTGCAGACCTGTCTGAGGGGGACCAAAGGACCTGTATGTTGTCTGTCTTCTATATCTTCATCCCGGTTGGAAGGTTTGTCTGCTCACCAATAACTGGCACTTTGTGGAACACTTGCTAGACAGAACTACAACACAGAATACTTTGAGCCTTGCCTTGACTAAGCCATATTGATTTGTGTCTTAGACGAAGGTTTTTATGGTGGGGTGTAATGCTTGTTTGGTACACTTACATTGAGGGGGTTACATTTTTTCATCTTTACCTTTTCAAATAAAAATGTTTTTTTTTCACCAATTTTTTTTCTTGTGGGAAACATTGATTTTTAAATAAAACAAAAGTAAAATGAAAAGCAGAATTTTTCTGAAATACCAAAAGCTCTTTATTGTCAGGGAGGGTGGGATTTTAAACATTTCCCATGAAAAACTTCCCATTTGCACTTTTCAAATAGCTCTGCACAATAGAAAGACTAAAGTACTGAAGATATGGCTTACTTTGTTTATTAAAAAAAAATGCTCTGAGAGTGGGGAAAACATTGGTTTCTTAGATAAGCTGTCTAGAGTCCTACAGTGTGTTAGTGGCAGTCAGGATTAGCACTCAGGCTCCCAGCTAAAGCTAAAGGAAGGAACCATCACAGAACTTAATTAATATGATTTACACTAGCAGGGTCTTGCAGTGAACCTGTGTGTGGGCTGCCTGGATTTGGATGCTTAGGAGTAATTACAGAGAATAAATGTGTACTCCCAGGTGAAATGTACCTTCTATCTGATATGCCGAATAATACTCTTCCTTACCCTCTTTCTTAGCTTAGCCACTATCTCCCCACCTTTCCCATTTCCCATTACCTTCATGGAGGGAAGGGTTGGCAAGCCAAAGTCATCATCACATTGCTTCTGTGCCTTCATGGACCTGGGAAACCCTTTTCTAGGATAGTGCAACGGAGTTGGATTGCTTCTCCCCAATCTTAACATTTTGTGTGGGGCTGCTGGGTGACGGCCAGTCTCTCACTGCTCTCCAAATCTGTTGTCTGCAGGAAAGGTAGGCTGATCATCTGGGATTCAGCAGTAAGGACAATGCAGAGTATGTCTATACTGTGAAAAATCAGTACCCTTTTTATAGCATCAGCATACTTGTATAAATACTAATGACAATGTGGCTTAGATATTCTTATCTCAGACCTGCTCTGAACAGGTTACAATTTCTATACCCAACTAGTTTACCTGAGAACTGCAATTAAATAGGCCTCACTGCTAGGAAATGACTGCAAAAATGCTCATCTGTGCTCCTCTCAGTACAAATCCTACCCTTGCTGAGTCTTGGAGAGTCTCGTTGCACTAAGGGAAACTAATGAAATGTTGACCTCACATTTTCTCTCTTACAGTGGTTTTGGTTATGTTCTGGCATCTGGTGTAACACAGGCTGTCGGCCATTGGCACTGGGCATTTAGGGTGAGTCTTTTCTCTCACTGATCCACTCTTTGTAAAATCCCAGCTTTGACTGAGCCTGTTTGGCTTTGTGTCACTAGAATGTCAATGCTATATGCAGGGACTTCTCTGATGGTTTTTCAATAAGAATGTTAAAAGGGTTTTTAAAAGATAAAATGCAAGAATGAATGGAAGGGAACATAGTTATCACCAGAGAAGAGAATTGCCGTCCTGGAACATTGCATTAAAGCCCTCCTTTCTTACATGAACTCGCCATTTAATATTTCATCTGAAGAAGTGGGTTGTACCCACAAAAGCCCATGACACCATCTACCTGTTTTGTTCAAGGTGCTGCTAGACTATTGGTTGTTTTTTAAGTTTTTCCAGTTATAGACTAACTTGGCTACCCTCTGTCACTATTTAATGGAACTCTTTCTGGAGAGCAAATGGTGTTTTATGGTTCCCCAACTATAACTGTGCTCAAAGCAAGGATGGGTGAACTGCTGAGCCACACTCTAGTCAATTTTTAGTTTGGACATTGTATCCTCCTTAATTTCATAGGCACTCCTTAGTTAAAGACTCATGTGAAAGAGCTACAGTGGACTGAAGGGCAGCTGATAGTGAATGTACAGGCCTTTTCAAAAGCACCTAAAAACTAACCTGGTCATCACTGTGGCATAGAATCATGTCATTTTGCAGAGAAATTGTTACAAGATGAACTAGTTTTGTAAAAATACTGCTGGAAACAAACCCTGTTCTTGCATTTAGCCATATTGCCATGATGTTCTGCCCTTGTAGGACAATTCATATCTTGAAAGCACTTATTCTTCACAGGTGAGCTAGGAAAATTTATTGTGGGGCAAAGAGATATGGTATTAGACTTAGGGCTGCACAGAAAATGAGTGATAGCTGGGACTAGAACTTGGGGCTACGTCTAGACTGGCATGAATTTCCAAAAATGCTTTTAACGGAAAAGTTTTCCATTAAAAGCATTTTCGGAAAAGCACATCTAGATTGGCAGGATGCTTTTCCGCAAAAGCACTTTTTGCAGAAAAGTGTCCGTGGCCAATCTAGACGCGGTTTCACATGCTTTGTGAAATTGTCTTATGGACACAAATATACATAATTTGAAGATGCTTTGGACAAAATGCCTCATATAACCTATCAATTTTAAAGTCACAATCAGCTGGCTCTGTATATCCTATTTTGGTGTATGTATCATTCTTGTATGTAAAATTAGAAATGTGGGGCATAGAATGGTTTATGGTTTTAAACGTGCAAATGAAGCCATCAAGGGTGTTTCCTATGCTCTGGCAACCTTAACGACTGAGTGATCAACTTAATGGCCTGTAAAGAGCCTGGTTTTCTCTCTTAAGTTTGAGCAGTGGTTGGTCCTGGAAAGACATGTGACCAGACCAATTTATGGTATAAATTGTTAAACTGGTATATTTATTGATATACCAGTTTAACCAGGTGATTTTCCATGGAAAGGAGTGTGTGTATAGATATAACAAAGGATTCCTGCCCAAAAGGATGTCTATTGAAGCTGGAAAGCTCTTTGTTTTTGGCTGGTGTGACATATCCAAAGGAGACGAGGATCCCAGTTAGAGTAAAAAGATCTTCTCTGACCTGAAGGCTTGCCTGAAACAAGAACAGTTTTAGGGTAAATTTGCAATAAGCTTTGGTATATTAGTATTAGCTATGCGTTTTCTTTTCTTTTAATCCTGTAACTTACTTTGATATGCCTTTGATCTCTTGCAACCAGTGATAGGTAGGAAATCCTACTGTTTGTACTTAATACAATTACTTTTTATTTACTATCAATCCCAGTGTAAATAATTGTTACCTGGGGGGGAACAATCAGTGTGCACCTCCTCCTTTCATTGTTAAAGTGGGCTTATCTGAATGAGCTTTCAAGGTGTGACACTCTCTCACAGTGAAAGACTTATTTGGGGTTTTGATCCCATTGGGGATCCATTTCCTGGATGTCGTGCCCTTGAACTGCATTTTCCCAGAGTTGAAGAGATTCAGTGTCTGCATTGCTCTTTGGGGGTGGTTATCTCATCTCTGTGCCTTGTCTGGGGGAGAGCAGAAGAACTGGCCTAGCGGGTCAGGGCAGTGAGGAGCCCCAAAGAGCAAGAAGCTGAGTGTCAGTGGCTTTATCACATTGGGAAACAGCCCTAAGCGGTCTTCTGTGACCCCACCTGTCACACTATGCATGGGGAAGTGAATGATTTTCTAGGTGCAGCAGAGGTGCTGTAGATCCATTATGTGGTGATCTTGTTCAAGCTCCCACTATTGCATTGTGGGGAGCACTCCTCTTATATTTTTGTCTAGGATCATGGGAAAGGGGTAGTGCCTTTGCATAGGAGCATGCATATTGGGAATGTTCTGCGTCTTTTCACTAACATCGTCAAAAGGATTTCTCCCCTGAAGGGAGAGCTAATCGTGTCTAAGTGATGCATACAGCTGGAGCTCCCTCAATTTAAATCTTTAGGAGCAATGTTGTAACTTTCTGTAGCTATTAACTGGCCTTCAGTATCAGAGGAAGGGTGACCATGACCTTACCCCAGTTTTGTCTCTACAGATAACTCCTTGCATGGGTGTTATAGCACTGGTTCTTCTGATTCTGCTGGTCCCTGATCCAACCCAAAATGCATCTGAGGGACATGGAGGCTGGAGCATCACTAGTACAACTCAGGGAGCAGATAAAGAGCATGGTGCCCAGAGTACTGCCTGCACGACCTGGCGGGAAGACATCAAATCGCTCAGCAAGAAGTACGTGGCTGTAAAGGCTGTTAATCCAACGAGCAATTCCACATTCAGAAAGTTGCCATATTCAACACTGCCATATTCCTCTGCATCTGTGTGCTGTAGGGCATGTAAAAATCACAGAGATAATTGTTCCGTCTTGTGAATCTATAATGCCTTCTGCAATTAGAGCAAAAGGCCCTCCCTTCCCCTAAGAGCTTCCTGAACAGGGGCCCACTCCAGCAAGTGTTTACTGCTGGGCATATGTTTGTTACAATGTGAGAGAGGGATGTTAGTGTGTACTTGTTTACACAATGAATCGATAAGCCTGGGCTCATCGGTATCAGAGGCAGCAAGGTTGGGGGGGAAAGGTGGGAGCCAGCTTTTTTTTTAAGCTTCCATGGAGCTGCCTGTCCCCTCTCCCTGCTTCCCTCAGAGGTAGCATGCAGAGTGTGGAGGGACAGGTGGGAGCCTATATGTGTGGGGAGCAGGCTTTTAAGCTGGCTGTCCACATGTGCCAGCTCCCACACAGCCGCCTGCCCACCCTGCCACCTCCCAGAGAGTACCGTTGGGAGCAGATGCTCGAGGGGAGCACGAGCTGTCTGCCCCCCTGTGCTTCTGCCTTTGATAGGGAGGCAGCAGTACAGGGAGTGGAGGGCAGGTGGGAGCTGGTACACATGAGAAGCCAACTTTGAAGCCGGCTCGCTGCATGTGCCGACTCCCAGGGAGCCGCCTGCCCCCCCATGCTGCTGCTTCTCTATCAGAGGCAGCGGGGGAGGGGCAGGGGAGCACCGGCTCCCACCTGCCCCCATGCATGTAAATATGCTAAAAATTCAGCTGTTACACATTTACAAAAATAAACATTTTTGAACATCCTCAAGGAGGGACTTGAGCAGGGCTACACCTAGCAGTAAATGCTTGCCACTCCTTTTGGGGAATGCCAGGCTCAGGATCTCTTACCACAGAGATCTCTTGCTCAACTCTGAAAAGTTCCTAGAGGAAAACATGGCTGGAATCAGGGGAAAATTAAGAACATGAAATTCCATAACTCTCAGCAGCACCTTTACCTGTGACCAATGTGCTGTTGAACTTTGTGCCCAAGTGCTCATGTTAATTTCAATTCCTTGGTGCTGAATGTGCGTCTCCAAAGGAATGTTGGATCAGCACTTCTCAGGCAGCCTTGTATGTATTGAATAGCCTGCTGCAGGGCCTTCTGACACCAGCCAGCGGCTCCGGCAGGATCAGGACTTAGATTTGTGACTGTGTATTGCTTTGGCAAAAGGCTGGAAAAGCTAGTCGTCTTTATCCCCTAGGTGGCACTCTCAACTTGCATAAAGTTTCTTTCTCCCAGACCTGGCTAACGCTGTAATCTGGCTTCAAATGTATTCCTATCAGCTCCCTTTATTTTAAGGACAAACTCCCTCTTCTGCTTTTTTAGGAACCAGGTTTGATCATATCTTGGCACCTTGGAGGCTGGATACTAGTCCAGAGTCCTTCACTTGGTGACTGGTGTTTTCTTTGCATGCACCTAGCACAGTAATCTCACTTGAGACCCAGATCATGGTTTTGTGGTCTGTAGACAACAGCTGTCTAGGTGAGCCAAAAGGGATCCTGTCTTTTTATTTCATTTGATAGCCTCAGGGGAGACCACAAACATTTGTCCTGTTCCAATGCATGCAACACAAAGCTTTTCTCAGCAGTCACACTTCAAACAGTAGTGATGTAACAGCTCTGTGGCCACTCTAGGGTCATGTACTAGTCACATATGTATTTTACCTATTTTCTTCTAGTAACTGATTCACAAAGTATAAGGGACCTACTACCATAAATCAAGGGAGATCTCTTAATGCTAGAGCTATGTGTCTTAGGGAGCTGAGGTACTGGCTTATTGGAGGATTATGACATGTCTTCATAGCACATGTATGTTATACCAGTGGTTCTCAGCTGGGGATACTCATGCCACTTGGAGTACACAGAGGTCTTCCAAGGGATTCATCAAGTCAACTAGATATTTGCCTAGTTTTACAACAGGTTATGTAGAAAGCATTAGTGAAGCTTATACAAACTAAAGTTTCACGCAGACCCTAGAGTGGCCACAGAGCTGTTACATGAGAAAGTAAGCAGCTTTTCAGTAGTAGTGTGCCATGACACATTTGTGGTGTTATATCTGATTTCTGTAAGCAATTAGTTTTTAAGTGAGATGAAAATTGGGGTACATAAGACAAATCAGACTCCTGAAAGGGGTACAGTAGTCTGGAAAGGTTGAGAACCATTGTTTTACACTAAGATGTCTTCCTTACGCTCTTGACCTCTCACCCTCAAGCAGACTTTCTGTTAGTCCCACTGGGCCTGTGAAACTGTTAAACAGTTCTAGTTGCTTCCAGTAGAGCAGGCATGTCCAAAGTCCGGCCCGCGGGCCAAACGCGGCCCGCGGTCAGATTTAATACGGCCCCCCGCTTCTCCCGGCTCCCCGGTGCTTTTTTTAACTGGCGCGCTCAGCGCGCCGCTTCGGGCCGCCGCCGCCGCGGTCCCAAACCCTGCCCCTGCACTCCGCTTTGGGGCTGAGAGTGCAGGGACAGCCCCCACTTCCTCCCCCTCTCCTGGCTCCCCGGCGCTCCTCTGACTGGCGCCGCTTCTGGCCGCGCCGCCGCCGTCCATGGCGGCCGCTGCGGTCCTAAAGTCCTCCATGTAGGGCACGTCCGCAGCCCCGCTCCCCCGCTTGGCTAC